CTGAAGCCTAGAGCAAGTGAAGCTGGCTCTTTCCCTTCTCCTGTTTCCCTTTTCTGGTTTGTCCCTTGTCTCACCACAGTGTGAGAACTTAAGAAGGAAGGGCTGGAAGAGAGGACAGAGACAGAGAAAGGCAAAAAGACAGACAGATGAAGCAGGGCCTGGGAGAAACCCACAGGTACAGGAGAAAGAAGGGGAAGAGCTAGAGTTTGAGGTTCTTTGATAGGTTCTAGAACATGAAGGGAATGCACTCAGGAGTCTATGATAACCCCATCTCCTCCCAGCTTTTGAGTCCATAAGCTCCAGGTAGAGGTAAATTGCTTCAAACATCGGTCATGAGCACCAAGTCAAAGGAAAAAACAGCCTTCCTTCCCTCCAGCACACATTCCTATATGCTATGTTGGGTTTTGCTTAGCTATGGCAGTATGGCCACCACACATCTTCCCCTGCACACACCCGTTCACACACACACACACACACACACACACACACACACACACACACACAGGCTCACACCATAGCAGGAAAGTGAAGGCTGGAACCTCCTATGAGCAGCATGTCTTAGTTGCTGAGGGATTTGTCCAGTAGCAGCAGCAGTCACCCTGTGATCTGTGACCACACTGCTGACTGAGCCATGCAGGTTTTTAATAATACCAGGTCCAGAGTGGCAGACACAGCCTTCAGTGAGGGTGGACCAAACCCATTTTTCACATGAAAACTGAGTCCAGTGATTGTCAGCCTAACCTCTTACCAAGAAACAGGCAAGGGCTCCTAGGCAAGGGCACAGCTACATATGAATCCAGGCAACACTCTCATTTATTTCCATGGGGCAGGATGCACTCTGGGAACATTTACTCCCATAATCGCTTCCTCCACACTCAGTGTTTGAAAGTCATGGTGCGGAGGAAAGAAGAAGACATGAAAAAACAGAAAGCTTCAGAGCCCAGGGTCCAGGACACAAATGCTTTCAGTAAACAGGAGATGGCAGAGATAATAACAGAACAGAAGAATCCGGAACTTCACGTTTGAGAAGGAGAAAGAACGTGAAATTGGGAAGTTCAGCTCTTAAAGCAGAAGCCAGCTGATGGAAGGCAGTTGATAAGGAGTACTGATAAACCAAAACTGCTACTATTGTTTATTTACAAAGAAAGGAGAGAAGGAAAGAGAGAGAGAAAGAAAGAAAGAAAGAAAGAAAGAAAGAAAGAAAGAAAGAAATGAAGGAAGGAAAGAAGGAAGAAAATCTTTGCTCTGAAAATTCCAGGTCAAGAGGCCAGATTCAAGGCAAATCTCAAGCAGATAGAGAAAGTTTCTTTGCTGGCTATATTTCTCATTGCATCTATAGCCCCTATGCTTATTGTACTGACCAGGAACCTTGCTAACCAGGGCAGAAGCAACCTCCCTCAAGCCCAGCTTTCTGCATCATCAATCTAGTTTCCCCTCTGTCTCATAAAGTAACCTTGTGCTGTAATGGGTTAGTTAGTCAAACTATTCTAATTTGCTAATTGGTTCATATGACACTTATTTGGGGGACATTATACATTAATAGTCACTTCTTAGCTATTTGACAATGACTGAGTCATTGAGTATCTTCAGGCTTCCATTTCCTTGTCTTAATTAAAATACAATATCAAAGGCATGGGGTGATATTTCAGTTGGGCCTGGTAGTGAAAAATCCAGCAGGGCTCTCAGGGGCCGTTTGTAAGGCAGGGTAGGAGAGATGGGAGAGTGTCTGAAGGAAATGAACATAGCAGCAAAACTGCCTGAGAGACTGCAAGCTGAGCGTAATTATAACTGCATCCTCCAGGGGGAAGGGAGAGCCAAGCAAAACACTCCTGAGGGGCTTGGACTTCCTATTATGTTTATTAATCATCTTGATGAAAACGGAGAGTCTGCATTGATTAAATTCACTAATGATCCTACACTGAGCAGGGGAGTAAATTCCAGAAAGGATGGATTTATAAGGTAAGCGCTAATATTAATCAACTCGTCTTCATGAAATGGGTGGCAATAAATGAAATAGGATTTGCAGTAGCAAATGGCAATGAGGTGCACCTGGGGGTAAATATAATGAGGGCAGATCCAAGCCAGGAAGCAGTTATTCTGGAAATGGCGAGAGAGCGGGAGAGTGGAAAATGAATACTAAGTTAAAAACAAGCTGAAAATAAACCCTCGAGGTGGATCACAACCTTACTCCCAGTCCTTTGGTTGGAGAGTGGAGTCACAAGAATGGCTGAGTTAGAAGCAGCCAGGGAATGAAGCATGACATCTACAGGAAGGGAACTGAGGCCCAGAAACGCTAGGAGTTAGGTCAGAGTAGGAAAGTCTGGAGTAGCATGTTCCTTCTTCACTCAGTCCCCCATGTAGTGGCAGAGACTATCATTCCCTCTTACAGCCTGAGTTTATTCTCGGAATCCTTCTCAGTGTTGTACTGTGTTCTCTGGTTACTTAGCGGTCTCTAAGTTGGACCATTGAACTACCCATGGCTAAAATCCATGACTTTGCCTACTGCTGCTTCCTCACCCTCTTAAGTTCTACAATGTCAACAGATAACACCAATTACAGCTTCAAGACTCAAGCACTCAGCAAACATTACTGATTTCTTAGCCGGGATTCTCACCTTGGTCTCTATTATATTCATCTGAGGTCTCTTGATCCATATTCATTTCCCCCAACATTGTTTAGGTTGCAGTGTAGGGACAGCAATGAGAAACATTATAATTTCAGACTAGTGAGGGCTGTGTACTTGAGAAACATTCTGTAAACAATGTTCTGTAAAAGGAATCCATGGAATACAAATAAATGAAGCTTCTGTCACAGGATGTGACAAAATTAATACTCTTGTTTCAAATTCCCTGAGACTAATGAGTCTTGATTTTCTTTTGGGGCACAGAATGAGTTATCTGTGCAAACAAAGTGTTTTTGAGAGATGTCCTGTGTGTACCACGTCAGTTTAGTTCAGCAGGGGAGAAAGGGAGGGAGGGGAAGATTCACCTCAGCAATATTATGAGGTAGGTGAGTTTGTTCACCTTTCACTTCCCTATACTCCCCTTTCAGTTCCTCTCCCCAGGAAGCTCCTGGTGCTGCTCTGAGCACACACACACACACACACACACACACACACACACACACACACACACACACGCACACACACACCAGCTTTCTCAGTAGCCTCACAGACTGAGATCAGTGCTCCACCTCTTGAGCCCTTCCACCATTCCTCTCTCCCCTGGAAATGTACCCAATGACATCAGCTCTGATTAACAACTATGCAGGCTCATAGTTCTCTGCCCAAGAATTTCCAGAGGACCCACCCTGTAGCCCAAGTGAATGAATTACGTTAGTAGAAAATTTTAGTGTGTGCCTAAAATACATTTCTCCTTAAGTATGCTGTCCAAATTGTTCTTAGGTTTTGTAAGAGGTAATTTAACCAGCTATAACCACTAAGTCCCCAATGCCAGTCTAAGTTGCTAAGCACCTTGCAACATGAAGGGTCCTATTACGTGATGGAGTGCTAAGAGCATGGGTCCTAGAATACATTCACCCCATCTCAGATGCTTGCAGAGATAAGCAAAGCACCCAAGTGTTCCAAACACACATCCCTATATGAAGAATGGGTTTCTTGATAGATTTAACTAAGAGAATATATGAAAATCATCTAGCATGGTGTTTTGCAAATATCTATGTGTACCAATAATTTCTTTATCCAATAAATCCACCCCTCCATCCATAGTTGCTACCCATTCCCTGTTACTTGTCATGTATGGTACTCATTTAACTTGCCAAATAAACCAGCCAAGTTGATCTCAAATAAAAATAGGTGTAAGACAACACACATGCCCAGGTGATGCCCAAATTGCTAGAGGTACTTACTCTCAGGGACAGATCCAGGTTTCAAAGACCCTAATATTATTCAATTTTAAAATCTTTTAAAAAGGAAACAAATAAAGTCACACCTGAGTATGGCAAAATTATGGTGATGGAGACCTTTTTGAGGCTTAAAGATGAGGAGAAAAAGAGGACGGGCTTGTTTCAAAAGTTCAAAAGGAACAATTTTGATACACAGTTTGGCATCTTGACTGAGTATAACATGAATGCTAACACTACATAAGACCAAACATAAGGCAGACATTGGTGGCTTACCCCTTTAATCCCAGCACTCAGGAGGCAAAGGCAAGTGGATCTCTGTGAGTTAGAGGCCAGCCCGATCTACAGAGCGAGTTCCAGGACAACCTCCAAAGCAATACAGAGAAACCCTATCTCGAAAAACCAAAAAAAAAAAAAAAGACAAAACATAAACAAATCATTATACATTAAATCCATAGGCTCTGAGAAATATGGTGAGTCATCAATGCCAATTTTTTAGTTAAGAAGAAACTAGGTCAAAGAAAGATTGGATCTCTGTTTCTTTCCACCGCTTATGAACCTGCAATTATCTGAAAATAAGAAGTGTGCTCTAAATACTTAGATAGGAGCTGGGGAGATGCCTCGGCAGGTAAGAGAGCTTACTGTACATGTGTAAGGGACGGAGTTCAATCCCAAAACCCGTATGAAAAGCTGGGCATGTCTTCATGGGGACCTGTTGAAGGCAGAGGTGTGAGAAATTCTGGGGCTTACTGTGAACCAGCCTAGCTCCATGTTCAACAAGAGACTCTGTCTCATGGGAACAAGGTAGAGAATGACAGAGCAGAATCCCGATATCCTCCTTTGCTCCCCATGAACACACACAGTGCAAATACCTGCATACCCACACCCATGCACATACAGCTCACAGTCATGCATGTCCTGCACACATACACAATATGGATGGAAGGCCTAGGAAGGACTTGCTCGAGGGAGACAGTAGCACAACTAGGCATCCTAGAACACATGTCTAGTTGAGGACAAAGTAGATGGATGAAAGATGAGTCAGAGTAAAGATGAAGCCATTACAAGACCTGAGTGAGCATGTGCACTTTCCAGGATTATTTGTTGCCACTGCTTTCAAATACACAACAGGGACTCACCCACATAAATAGGTTCACTCCACTCGCCCCAGCTTCCAGATACTCTGCAAGATGAACTCACAACTGCTCTCACTTGAATGGAATATGTAGAAACATCATCAATTTTTGACATGAATTTGTTGGTGGCCAGTTTTTCCACCTAAATGGGGAAAATTAACATTATAATAATGCCTAGATATATAATTTCTGTGAATACCAGCTTGGGAAGTCATGTGTAGGTAATGTAACTCATTACTTAGCAAGTAATCTAAAAATCAACAGGGCATAGTCATGAGCTTATTCTACACTGTTCCAGTGTGAGGTCTTGGCAGTTACCCTGAGGGAGAAAGTGATCTTGTAACTAAAATATATCAGGTGGTCAGCTAAAGGGATAGGTGAAGCTGTGCAGACAATTAATGTTTCATATGGAAAAACTGGAATCACCTTCAACAGCATACATAATCCCTGTTACCTTGTCCTTCCACATTGGAAAGTCATAGTCCTAAATAGCATGTAGTTTGTGCCTGTTCAGCCCTGCCCCATGACCATAGCCTGTGCAGGCTTTCTGCTCTATTTCTTGGATGGTCTTAAAAGCTAATATCCCTGTATCCATGTGGCACCCTTCACAGCCAACTGCCACACTGCCACAAAGATTACGCTTCTACCCTGTAAATGCTACTTTTCTCCATCCTGTAAAATTCTTTGATGATGCTCATTACCCATGTCCATGGTTTTAAAGTAGATGCTCTATGGCTTTTAATAAAAGCCTCACAGTAGAGTTACAAGTCTAGTGCTAGCCTTGTGTTGGGCCAGCTCAGTTACTACCCCTTGACTGAAGTAAGTTTGCACTCTCGAGCCTCTGGGTTATTTATTCCTTTTCCTCACACCCACCCCTAGCAGGCACAGTGTGGTTGTGGACTTGTACAGGTCAGGAAATGCTGCTTGCTGCTCTATGATAAGATCAGCGCAGACAGTGACAGCAGTTTAGAAATGGAGAGCCGTTAAACATTGCTGTGACATCCAAGCACATGATCGTTGGTTTGTATTTGCACATCTTTGACTGTTTTGTTTTGTTTTTCTAGTTGGTCCTTCTTAATGCATTTTATAAAGGTGCTAATCTATGGCAGATTACAATGTACAAGAGAAAGCTAATCCATCACAGAAGATATTTCTGGAAACACACACTATGATATCCTCTCTTTTCCTCAGTAGTCAAGTTTCTGTTTGACCCCCCCAGCCCTACCCCTGACTCCATGCTGTGGAGACTGGAAGCTGACAAGGCTCTTTTTCCCCCTCTCCCCTCAGTACTCTGTTGATTTTTCCAATGGTAGGGAGCCTCTGGATGCCATTTACCAGAGCGGAACTCATCTTATATATCCATTTATTTTTTACTTAATCTATTTATTTTCATTGTAATGGTGTGTTGCCTGTATGTATGCCTATGGGAGGGCACCAGATCATCTGGAACTGGAATTACAGACAGTTGCAAATTGAACCTGGGTCACCTAGAAGAGCATTCAGTGCTCTTAACCACTGAGCCATCTCTCCAGCCCCGTGTCCATTTATTTATACGTGAATTACCTGCTTGGCAGATCATATGAAAGTAATGTGCCCCATGATATGGCACATAATTTAACATTAACAGGACATATTATTAGTTTATTCCAGACTACAAAAACAAGGCCTTATTTCTCTTTATGTGTTACAAGAAACTAATTTGTAGATATTGGTTAAGTTTAATTAAATGGTGTTTACTTTGTTTCTGTTAGTTATTTTTACATTTCTTTGTTTGGGTATGTGTATGTACGTCACAGCACTGATATAGAGATGAGGGGACAACTTGAGGCTGCCGTTCTCTCCTTCCACTTGTGGGTCCCAGGAACGGAATGCAGGAAAGCATGCTTAGCGGCAAGGGCCATTACCACTGCTCATCTCACAGCTTCTTCATTCCTTTTATTTGTAAGACATCAGTTTGAATCCTGACTTCTATATTTCTTCCTTAGCTTTGTGACTCTGAGAAATTGTTCATCTTTGTTTTTCAGGGGTGGGGCTTAATTGCCAATAAAATGGGAAACATAATTATATAAAAACTATTATAGACAAGGTATAAAATAATATAATAAAACTCCATAGGTGTAATATATGCCCCTGCACTATTGTCAAGCGTGCAGGCCAGAAATGCTGAAGAGCCACACTGTTGTGCAACCTGACTGCGACATACTTTTCATCTTGCAAGTCTGGAGTTGCTGGTTCAGGGTGTGTCTCATGCTGCGTGTGCATGAGCCTGTCCATTCAATCCCTATCACCCAATGATCAAAAGTTCACAATCCGGACACTCTGTTTCCATTAGAAAATGGTTCCACATTTTCCATTCTCCATTTCCTAGCAACCATTGCATTACCTTCTGTTTATATGTGTTTTACTACACTTGGTATCTCATAAAGGCAGAATTGTATGCTATTGGTCCTTTGTGATTTGCTCATTTCACCTTGCCTGCTGTCCTTAGGTTCATTCATATCATAGCATGTATGAGAATTTCCTTTCAAAGACTGAATAATGTCCCTTTGGATATATTAATATATATCACATTTCATTTTTATGCATATTCTGTAGGGCTTTGGTCTTGGCTTGTTTGCTTTCAGGAGGAATCTTGCTATGTAGTCCACACTAGCTTTCTGACATTCCTGATTTCTCAGCTTCCCTCCTGGGCACTGAAATCACAGATGTATGCCACCAAACCTGACTCTATTCATCTGTTAATGGACATGGGAGCTTTTCACAGTTGGCTATTGTGAGTTATGTTGGTGTGAGTACGTGTGTTCAAATATCTTTTTGAGGCCCTGTTTTGAAATCATTTGCATGCATAACTAGAAGTAGAATTACATGCTCTTAGGATAATTCTAACTTGTGGAAAACTTGCCTTCCCACTTTCCCCAGTAGTTGTATCATTTGTATTTTTTTTAGCAAAGCTCTTATAAATGGGTTTCATTTTATCCTTTGTATTATTTTCAACTCAAAGTATATCCTTTCAAAATATAAGCACTGTAGGATTTATTTTTGTAATACCCAGGGCAGGTGTAAGTCAACATTCACTTTGTTGATAATTAAAAACAGCAGAGCAGTCACTACTGAAACTTTTAAATCAGTGGTTCTCAACCTGTGGGTTGCAACCCCTTTGGCAAACCTCTATATCCAAAAATATTTACATTAAGATTCATAACAGTAGCAAAATTACAGTTATTTAGCAGCAATGAAAATAACTTTGTGGTTGGGGGACACCACAACATGAGGAATTGTATTAAAGGGTCACAGCATTAGGAAGGTTGAGAGCCACTGTTTTAAATGCTCCACAAATAATGGTGTCTAATATGGAATATTGCAATGATATTAAAAATTACCTGAAAGTAACCATTCTTCGTATTGTAGATTTTTAATTCATAATTAAAGCAATGGACTGGAAAGGCAGAAACTGGTTTCTCCCATTGGATATAAAGGGAAGTTTCTTCAATTTCAACTGTGACATTCATTGGAGGATTCACTTGATCTAGGTCAGAGAAAGCAATGATCAGGGATGATAGCCCCAACCCACCATTTCTAAGATATGCTTTTCACAAGGTTTACCATTAGGTCTCAATCAACCAATCTCAAAGCCACAGGAAGTGAGTGACTTCCCATGAGGTTCTCGGTATGGCTTTCTGAATAGATTTACACATATAAAGAACAGAAATCACTACTCCAAATGGAAGTGGTTGACACCTTTCTGCTGTCAGCTCGCTGCAGCATCCCTTTAACTTTGCAAGCTAGAGTGTACTCATGGACAGAACATGGACCATGTGCCCCACTTCCATTTCTCAGCAGGGGTAGAGCTCTGGGTAAATCACTTCTCCTTTATGGCTTCAGTGTTTATTTTTTGCTTGTCAGATAAAACAAGAGGCTTCTGAATGAAAAGAATAGATTGAGCTAAATAGGTTTTTACAGGAGTAAAGTACTTCCATACTAGCATTGGGGCCTGAGTTTGGATTCCCAGCCTCCAGGTGAAAACAGCTGTAACCCCAGAGCTGGGGGTGATGGTTGGGAAGTAGGGGTAGGTGAATTCTAGAGCCTCGCTAGCTAGCTAGGTAGCCAGCCAGTCTAGCAAAAATGGCAAGTTCCAATCCAGTGAAAGTTTCTGCTCCCTACAAAATTAATCAGAGAAGCAACCGAGGAAGAGATTCTGAGGTTAATCCCAGGCATTTGTATGGACAAGCACACCTGCACACATATGAATACAGTGCAATACACATCTAAAAAAAAGTGAACCAGGGAGAAAGGAATGGGGAAGGGAAGCGGAGGGTGTAGGAGAGAAGAGAACTGTGGACATATTGTTCAAAAGCCTATAGATGAGTCCAAACCACTATGAAGGAACAATGAGGTTTGGAGGGTTAGCTTTGAAAGAAGAGACAAATATTGGAAAGCCTAAATGAATACCTTTGAACTGTAGAAGGACCACACCTTGGAGAAAATGGCTAAGGATTTTTTTGGGTGCAATCTATTGCCTGTGGACACACATTTTATTAAAACAGGCCAGACCAGAACAGATTAGCATTGCTTTGACTTTTTCTGGTGCGGTCATTCTCAACTGGGGAGAGCTCTACACTCGAAAGGATATGTTTGAGATGTGATTTGGTCACAGCTCGGGAGACAGGAACTAGCAGGGAAGATACAAGTTAGAAAACTCTTAGATAGAGGCCCAAAATGCCACTAAACATCTTCCCATGCCCAGGACAGACCCCTACATTGCCAAGTCAACCAGCCAAACATTTATGTAGAGTTAGAATTAGGATGCCTGTCTCAGTTATTTTTTCCATGTTGGTTATATGACTGCTTAATATTTGAAAGGTAACAGGACCCTTCCCAATGCCAAAATTGGGCTATTTCATTATCCTAATGCTGGCATAAGTCTGGCTTACCAATGGCATGTGGAGTGAACAGCTGATCAAAGGACTTGATTGCAGCATGCTTGCTTGAGCCATTAACATGTACTGCAAGCTGATCAAACCCTTTGCTGTTGATAAATGTCCTGGGAAACCAGCATGCAACATTTCTGTTCAGTGTATCTCTGCTGTATTCTTGGCATTCTTCAGTCCAAACACCAAACCTAAATTGGAATACCCATGAGTTTTTATAAGGGAAGAGGAAATGAATAATTTGCATAAGTAAAAATAGATACTGACCTGTAGTATAAGAAATACTGTGTGTCCTCAGGGGCATCCTTGCCAACAAGCCAGGTGCAGCGAAGAGACACTTGGTACGGCCTTAAGTGGGTGTGACTACTCAGGACAGTGTTTGTGGTACAAGTTAAATTAATAACTGAGGTTCCAGAAGACCCTAGGGGACCACAAATAAAAAGAATAAAACACTGCCATGGTGGTTTATGAATTTTGTGCTTTTGCTTGAGATACTTTTGATTGTGAGTCACCACAAAGATCTATTTATAGAAACTTATTTGCAAAGGGTGAATTTACTGGAGAAATGAAACTAGAACTATAAAGCCTCAGGTTTTGACATAAAAGAACTTTTCAGCTCCTTTAGATGAAGATACGGGGGTGTATCTTTGAGACAGATGTCTGAAAGTTCAAGTCTAGTGTCAGGTGTCCAACAACTTCAGCACTCTACTGCTATATTTGCCAGTACCTGGCTGTGAGGCATCTCTCCATACAGTGTCTGAATTCCAGTTTTTCTAACTGTAAATGAGGCTCAGTCAAGGAATCTCTCCAGAATCTTCTTCCCTCTTGAATCATATGAGCCATTCCTTGGTATCTATATCTTAGGAATTGCATGGATTACTGCTCGGGAAATGCATTTTGAAAATACCCCAAGATCCTACCATTATATTAGAGACCTGTGTACCTTAGCTTAGCAGTCTCCTTAACGTACCATGACTTAAAATCCGAGGTTTCAAATGTTTGCTTGCACCGACCTTCCCCAAATTATGTTTGTGCTACCCTGAGCACTCTGTCAAACAAACCTGCTGTTGTTCCTCAAAGATGGAAAAATGTACTTGGGGGTCTAGGGTTAGGGATAACAAACCTCCCTAAAGAGGAAACCCTGAATGATGCAAGGGTTTTTATTTTTCTTAAAAGCAACTATAGATTAACTTTTATCACTGTCATCAAATGTTTTTCAATGGACAGAGGGGGTGGTTAGAGGACAGAGCCTCCTAAGGCCTTGAAGCACCCTCCTTACTTAGGAGTAAGCCTGTTGGTAACTCATTGGAAAATGATAAGTAAATTCAAGCATCTGTGTTATTACAACACAGTTTAGGGGGTTTCTGAATTGGGGCCTATAGGGACCCTTGCCCCTTTTATGCCTGCCTTTTGCTTCCTGGCTATAGACCTCTACCACTTGCTTCTGGAGTGATATGCTATGCTGTTACATGAACTAAAAATAGGCCTGACAGGTCATGGGTGGAAACCCCCACTGAAACCAGAAACAAAATAAGTCTATTATTATTTGTTATAGTAAAGAGAAAGCTGACTAATAACACTGGAGGCAGGATCTTCTTACCCAATGATGCTCATTGGAGAAAGCCTTGAAAAACACAGATGTGGGGTTAAGATGTATATGATTTAGGAAATTGCTTATCCCAGAATCTGATGGCCTATCTACTCCCTTTTTCCCCTCTTGTGTTTGTGTATTTCTGTGTTAAAATGTTCAGTCAGAGCTCTGATTATGTGTACCAGAAACCCCAGCTTCCTCTGAAGGGCAGTGTGTAGATACAGGGGTGTGCTTGCAGATGGACCTGGGTGGCCGATGAGAGTTGTGGTTAGAATGTGGGTGCTGTGAAGGAGATTGGAAGGTGTGGAGCTGGACTAGAGAAAAGTGGCTTTCTTTCTCATTCCGACAAGAGTAAAATATGAAACTTAGATGCCCCATGTCTCCTTTACCTGGTGAAGCTTTGAGTTCAGCAGAAACCCAACTGCTGGCCAGGAAAGAGTTACTTCTCCATACGATGCTCCTCACACTAGCTGCAAAGCCGTTGTGAAGGGGGGCCACATATTTGCTGTCAGTCTTCCTGGTATTATACTAAAACAAAGCCCGCCAGTCATGGCATATACATAGCAGAAAACAACTAATCAAATAGGCCTTTTACTCCACTTTTCTTAGAAAAAAGGCATTATAATGTTAGTATAGTTTCTCAATGACACGTGAACATATTCCTCTTTTAACAAGAAATAACATATTGTAATTAAGATTCAAGTTCCCTTTGATTCTCAACTTTAATGCCAGTCTCCTCTCCAGGAGCAACTTCTTGACAGGAAATTCTTTTAAATTTTCATGTTTACTCCAAAATGGTTAATACAAAGCACATCTCCCTTTCTTTCACCTTACTGAAACTGTGATACACAGCTGGTATGTTAGCATATCTCCATCGTAAATCTGAAAAATCAACTCAAGACCTTAGGGTTTAAACATAGGTAGTGAATGAACTTGGCTTTCACCTTGGGTTTTCTGACCCTGTACTGTACCATTCCCTTGTACCATTTTGCTCACTACTTTCTCCTAGTTTTGTTGACATTTTAGGAGATATGTAAACAGTACTATCAAAGCGCAATGCACTTTTAAAGTTGGGAAATAGTCTGGAAAGATGGCTCAGTCAATAAAGTGATTGTTGTGTGAATACAATGACTTGAGTTTGGGTCCCTAAAAACACATGCAAAATTCAAGGCACAAGACAGCATGCACCTGTAACCCAACACTGGGGTTAGGACAGAGGTAGGTGGATCCTTGAAGCCTAGTCAAACTGATAAGTTTGCAATTCAGTGAGATACTTCTCTCAAAAACAAAAGGTCTTGGAGAGAGATCAAGCCAAGTGTCAGTCTGTGGCCTTCATACCCCTGCATAAACACCCACATGAACATGTGCACAGACACACTAACAAGTACATAACACACACATGTGCATTCTCTCTGTCTCTCCCTCTGTCACACATACACACACACACACACACACACACACACACGAGAGAGAGAGACAGAGAGAGAGAGAGAGAGAGAGAGAGAGAGAGAGAGAGAGAGAGAGAATTTTCCTTGAAATAAAGCCTTCTATGCTACTGTTTCATAGCACATATTGAATAATAAGCATTGGTCCTATTCACTTTACAGATCCTACTGGTAACACAAGAAGGTCTTTAGTAATTGGCTGTTCTTTATCAAGAATTTCACTTCTTGAAGCTAAAATGCAGTTTGAAAATGAATATTCACTCTTGGTAATGATTGTCATCAGAACCAGCACTTACTTCATCTTCTTGTGGAACATTTATTTTCACATGATATTGTAGATCAACATTCCTGTGCTCTTGGTCAGGATTGGGCTCCCAGTGTAAAAGAACTTGAGCTAATCCAGTGGCTTTAATGGTAAAATTAGCGGGTGGTAGAAGTAAAACTAAGGGTTCAAAAAAACAACAAAAAAACGATACAATGTTTAATTGTCCATAAAGAGCATTTTTTATATATGGTGCTGGGAGTGAAACTCAGAGCCAGTGAATGTAGGACAGGTATTTTACCACTGAGCTATATTCCCAGTCCTTAATATATTTTAATTATTTTATTAAATAACATACTGGCTTGTTGTGGCTTCTTAGAATATATTATACAGAAGTAATTTGGCAAAAGTTTCTTTAAAATTATTGCTTGTTCATCATCCAGTTATTACCTGTAACTTTCATGTGGTTATATTGAATATGAATAATCTACCATACAGTTACTCATTAAAACTGTAGTTTTTACAATAACAACATAACCAGTAAATGGAATGTGATTAACAATTTCTGGAGTTCAAATCCCATTTCTTTCATTTTCACAGTAGTACAGAAGATAAATAGAGCACACCAGGAGATGGGGGGGCATATATCAGATCTGAAACAATTGTCTTATGGACATCTAGTTTCCATTGCATACAAGTACCTACTTATTTGTAAGATCAATGATTCACAATGTAAAATGTATTTATTTCTCATTGTGAGCCATAGCCTAAAGTATTTGAGTAGAAAAAAGGGATTTGCTTTCAAAATAAACCATTTCTCTTAATTAAGGACTCAGTGCTCATTGTAGAAATGATGTAAAACACAATGAGCGATAAGAAAGTAAAATTTCAATTCATGTATTATTTTGTTATGTTTTTTCTGGGCATATGTTTAAACAACTTCTTAAAAATTTTCACCCAGATAAGGGCAGTGCTATACATTGTGAAACACATAATCTTAAGTTTATTCATTTGCTAAATTGTCAGTGTTTTCCATTGACCTTTAAAAGCCCTTCATGAGTCTGCACCTGCGTTTGACATGCGAAGGCTTCTAGGACTGTCTATGTAGTTCACCTTTATTCCAGTAGGCACTGGAGGCTGTGGCTTTTCAAATGTAAATTAGGTAGCTAAACCCCATTGCTCTAGTTGCATCATGTATACTTCAGCTGCTTGGTGGTCATGTGGATGGTGGCGTTGCGCTGGGAGGAACCAAGATAGAACACGGTCTTTAGAGAGAGTTCTGGACAGAGCTGGGCTGGTGGCATTCCACAGTTTTCCTCTCTTAACCTCCATCATCATACTAAACTCTTAGGTCAACAAGTTTCGGGGGGGAAAGGGAAAGAAAAATGGTAGAAAATTTTTCTTGCTTCTTGTGAGGCCTTTCATGAAATTCTCAGGGGAGGCTGCTTTCTTCCATGATTCCCATATATATTCTTAGAATTGAATTTCCCACCAAAGCATAGAATTTACATTTCTGCCCACACCATTTTCTTAACTCTCAAGAGTTTATTCTATTTTATTAAATGTCCCAACTGAATGTTTGCTTCAGAGAAAATCCCATTACTTTTTTTATACTATACTTTAACAAAAACAAACAATGTTAGATAGAAGATCCTTACCCTTTCTGTCAGAAAGTAAGTCAGCTTGCAATGCTCCCCAAGCCCCCACGAGAATTAGTAATGTAGGCAGCATGATGGTCAAATCCTATGGGAAACATGAAAGACAAATTCCAGATCATCACATTATCATTTCTAAGGAAAGCTGGCAGCTACTTTCTAACACAAGATCAAGTCACTTAGTCACTGCTTATGATCCCTCTGGTGTGCTGGGAGGACAAACATATGGGGGCTTTGCTCTTGGGTTGTAGAATCATGATCTGCTGTGACAGAATGACATGTCAATCAAAAATTAATGGAGAATAAATAATTGAGACATTGTCCACAATATGATGTGTCTGGAGCACAATAGACATCTGATTTGACTCACAAAAGGTGAATTAAAGTTCATAACACACAAGGAGAGATTCCACTAGAATTGCACTGAGAAAATGTGTGGAACTAGAAGAAAAGGAAGAAAACTGGAGAGGATTGGTATTCAGGACATTAGAGCAGGTCTCAGGGTGGGAAAAGTTCTAAGCAATTAATAATAAACATGAACACTACCAGCTTCTCATGTGTTTTTAAATTAGGGGCTTGGTAGAAGTGTTACCTAGGAAGCCCTAGGTTCAATCCCCACCACCCTTTATCTTCAAGTCAAAATGACAAGAAACTTACATTGATAATAATTTGTAATGTGAGAAACATCAACTTCCTTTGAAAATCCAAGATAAATCTGTGGTGCTTTGAGTTTGGGGGAAGATGATTTATTTTCTTACGGACCCAAATGATAACAGGACAGGGGAGGACAAAGAACATGTTCACACATTTGGGAAAAGTGTAAGTATTTCTCCCTCCAGAAAACAACTTGACAATGAGATAGATGGTGAGTAGAATGTTAGGCTAAGTGAATGAGGAGAAGCAGATAGTCTCAGCCCTTGAGTTCAAAGGTGGAATCAATAATTCCTGCTGGGACCTGTAGATTAGAGATGTGGAGTTTTTCCAGAGATCTTCTGGAGCTCAACTTTAAGGATGAAACGTGTGTGTGGCTTCCATTTGGGGTGTGCCCCCTCACTTAAAAAATTAAGACATAATTTATTTATTCAGTGTGTGTGTGTGTGTGTGTGTGTGTGTGTGTGTGTGTGTGTGTGAACTTGGACCATACCTCAATCTTCAGACAACAAAACATATGCTCTTGAAGCTTCAGTAATTCACATGACTCACAGGGCTAGGATGTAGGTCAGTGGGATAACCTTGCTTAGAATATGGAAGACTTTGTTAGATAGCACTTGCCCAATAAATAATTTTTTAAAAAATGAATCAATAAGAGAAGTTTTTACTTAAAAATTTTTAAATGGCTACACCTTTTCAAAGTCTAATTCCAGTTTAGGCAAGGGAGAAAACTTCATTAAATAGATAAATTCTAAAAATTAATAGCAGACACTTTTGCTTCATTATTTAATCACATCTTACAACAACGCCTTACTTAACATATTGCTATTACTGCTCAAGTTGGAGTAATTACACAACAGCCATAAAGGGACAGCATATGGAAGTCATCTCATTCTTTCTTCCTTCCTTCCTTCCTTTCTTCCTTTCACCCTTTTTTCAAATAAATATGAGAGTTATGCCAGTTTTCATGAAAACAATCCTGTTTCTATTTATGTGACACTTCCACCCCATGTAAATGAATTTTTATACTGACCATGATCATGACATTGAAAGAAGACACTGTAATAGTCTTCTAAATTTTCAGTAAGTCAGGCTTTTCATGAGCAAAAGGGAAGCATTTCTAATGCACTAAGCCTAAGAAATTCAGCTACAATATCCTTAGTAACAGCAAAGACAGTGGCTGCTCTCTCGAGTTATGAAAGCAACATCTTCAGATATCAGCATTCCCTGACATGGTGTTTAATATGCCCTACCTTCACTGATTTTCATTAACAGGAGTTCTAGGTCAGGAAAAAAAACCCTCAAAATTAATACCCTGTAGTGACTTTTACTGACTGGTAGAACAGGAAGTGTCTTAACAGTGCTTATAAAAATAACAAACATCTGTTTATACTTTGCAATTAAATTGTTGAAGTAAATAATGACTCTGCTGCATGTCTCAGTGGGGAGGTAATTGAATATTTTATAACAGTAAGCACTCTCCTCTAGAATGTACCTTGTATTCTGATTTTGTAGTTGCTGAAAATAGAATTCTCTTTCAAGTTTGATCATTCAAACATTTTTTACTAAGTTTTGGCCATTAATGGCAATATTTTTTCTTATCTGCTGGGTTTTCTATGCCATAAACAATGTCTATGAGAAAAAAATCAGTTGTCCTATGGACAATACAAGGTGCTCAGATAGGTCACACATATCTCAGAGCTGAGAAGATAAATTCCAGCGAAGGCTGTATATAACTGGAGCTTCAACATATGACTGTGTTTCCTGTGATTAGTGACTCAGTTTCCCAAATACCTATAGGCTTGGACTCCATGTGACTGCTTAAAGCACATGAACACTTGGTTGGAGCTGTCATCTTTGATTAGGGATTAAAAAGATTCAAGCTCTTTGGTTTATACATTCAAAGTTACACTATTATCAACTGAGCTGTAAGTCCTCATATTAAAATATAGTTAATACAGTCACTTTAGTTATTTGTATAATCTCAAGATGACAATATACCTAACTCATTTTTCTCTTGGATATCAACTAAAATGCAACCCAAAGCCATTACATTGTTGAATTAAGAAGGGTAAAATAAATCAAGATTGCCTGACTACAATTAGAAAGACACTCTATCCTTGAGGGGGATCAGAAGGAATTTGTTCGTGTGACATTTCTGTGAGTAAAATGGAGTGCCCTCCTTGAAATTTAAAAGAAAACAGGCACACAGTCTCTCTCATGACAGATGTTTCAAGAAATTAAGTTGAGTCTGACTTTAGCCATTGATGATGGACTTCCCCAGTGTTCCTGAGAATCAGTCAAATTCTGCTGAAGTTCAGAAATAAAATTTTCTGTTTCCAATTAATTTTTCTGCCCGGAGGATTCATTTTACAACCAAAATTATGTTGGTATCCCTATTTTTAGAGCCTTTGTGAGTGACTTGCGCTAACATCTAATTCCAAGTACAACCTGAGTGGCAGAAATTGAAGAGCCACTGGGTGGATGTGTGCTCTTTTAGATTATTGCAAGGAAATAATTTCTTTCCCTTTTTAAATCCTGTGCAGCACAGTCTGTCATAAAACCCAATCTGAATTGGAGGGATGACTACATAAAACAAAGGTTATGCTTAGCTAGGTACACTGTTTTAACACCATAGTGACTAGCTGGACATGCTCATAAAAATATAAATGAACAACAGGATGACACATGCAACACTTTATTTTCCCCGCTACTATACTTCTGAATTATTTTCTAAAACAGTTCTAAAATATCACCCTCAGGGTCAAGTTGTGGCCACAAACAGAAAACATTCCATAAGCCCGGATAAATAGCTGCCATTCTGATATTCTGTATAGAGAAGGTGTTTGGTACAAGTATCTCAGTACTTACATACATCCTGCCCATCTCATTTGTCATAAGCATTATTCACACAGATGCTTCCTCATTGGTGGACATGTCTGTGGACGATCCCTTCTGTTCCGCAGGTCTCAGCATTAGAAGCCAAGGATCACAGCTGTCTGTCGTGTATGATTTCCCATCAGAGCCCCAGCACTTAGCACGCTATCAAGTGCAGCGGGCATGCCTGTTAGATTTGGTCCTGTAAAGAATAGGGCCAAGTCAGTACCCAGTCCTGATGAGCGAAGGCGGATCTGTTCAACATGAACAAATGGACAGCTTAGGTCAGCTGTGGGACTGTGCGGGGAACACCTAGCAAGCCTGGCTATGTGTGTGCCTTACTTAAAAATTTCCCCACATTGCATTTTAAGTAATGTTAAACAAATGAGATGGTTTGATTTCTAAAACTTTATATTTCAAAATCTAAACTTTTAATAACAACTACATAGATTTATCTCTAGATAACTACAGAGGAGAACATATTAACAATAAGCAGAAATAACAGGTAACGATATGTTAATTATAATTCATTAAGTTTTGTTTTTCCTATATTTCACTCTCTTTCTGTTACTCTCGTTTTTAAAAACTTGGTTCCTTTCTATCCATTCTTTATATGTATGTGGAATATATATCTTCCTGGTTTTAGGTAACTAATTAGGTTAGTGAGTATAAAGACAAGGGAGATATTTCATAAACTTTTTGTACATTTTAGGTAAAATGAAAAAGTCATGGGTACCAAAGAAATTTCAGTAGAAACCAAAAGCAAAAATGCTTTGAGTTATACTATGACATCATTTCCTTATTGTTGTTTGTCTCTGAATTTGTAATTTTTGAAATTAACTCTGAAACTTCTTCATGACAGTCTCTAACTAGATTCTATAACCTGTTTTTGAAACTCCTGTTTTTGAAGAGAGCTTATCACTAGATACATACTCCTCTTAATCTTCTAAGGTGTCTACAAAAGCAGAAAACAAATGTCTTCTATTTCCAGGGGCATTGACAAAACATCAGATGTTACTTTAACAAGACTCACCTTGGTATGAATGAGCGCATCAGACACAGAACGACCACCAAAAATAGAAGTGCATAGCCGGGACCTGCCAGTGAGCTTCTTTAAGTTTGGTACCCCCAGTATTTGCTCTGTCCCTGCTGATAACAGGGCTGTGAAGTGTGCAGTTTCCTCTTTTCTCTACTGAAGCATTGGCTATATGCTTACCAATTATTATTTCTCTTTTCTTGCCCCTCCTTTTGTTGGGGGTCCTGGGTGTGTCTCCAGCCTAGTCATAGAAAACGATATGTGTGCCCTACCAGCCCTGCAGTGAGTCAAGCGTTTGATTCCCCCTTGCTGAGAAGTGAAGGCGGCTACACAATGTAAGCAAGCAGCTGTGAACCTTATCTGTGTGTGCACTGTTTGGCTTTGTGGCTCTTCTTTACTCTCTTTCATCACCAGAGCTGTCATGGTGAAAGAGTCGCATGCAGCTTCCCTTACAATGGAAGGGCCACATGACTGCTCTCTGGAGGATGGTTCCCAAGAAAGCAAACCCATCA